TAACCAGGGGCATCAGCTTGAGGCTCTGTTTCAAAAAAAAGAATTAAGGAAAAGCTTTATATGCCAATATGGAAAGCTCTTGAAACTAAAGATGCAGAACTATGCATATAGTTTATGAACACATATGTAAAAAAAAAAAAAAAGGTTAAATATCTATGTTGATACATTCTGATTAATGTATTTAAAAATCTCTAGACTTGAAATAAAGAAATAGCAATTACTCATGAGAAGTGGAAACCAGACATAGGGGAAAGAAAAGGAATGAAGGAAAATGCTTTACTATATATCTTCTTATAATTAAAAATTTCTGAAAATGACTGTATGGCCTTTCAAAAATAAATTGTTAAAAATCACCTGTACCCAGTTAGTACATAGGTAACCACATATTTCTATGGAAAAACAACTAGGAAATGGGCCATTCATCAATCATGAGGGAAGTAGGCACTAAAGATACTTCAAAAACAAGTGTGAAATAAAAGTTGGGAAAAAAGAGTTAAAATTGAGACCTTCTTACCCAGACATCCATAATGACAATACACTTTGGAGGTCTCATCTTTTTCTAGCAGATTTTCCCTGAGACTTTGCCCTATTACAGCAGTCTTAGATTGATTCTAGCATAATACCAAGAATGAGGGTATTCACACCAATTTTAATCCAAATTTAGCATGTCCATTTTATCTCTATAGTTGTTGGCCACTTTTTGTGGGAGGTAAATTAATCAGAAATTAAATTTCCAAGTCAGTCAAATGTAGGCATAGTTATTTCACAATTAAATGTGGGTGAAGTGATAGCTTAGGCCAAAGTAAATAAGTAACCCTTAATCCACAAACTGACCTATAATAATCAAAGTATGAAATTATTAATACTTATGAAATTAATAATTGAAGTATGAAATTAATATTATTATACTTCCCTGGCAAGAAGGACCATCCTCAATTTGTGATGATAAAACCCTGCCACCAGCATAAATGCTAATTACTCATTGGCTATGGAAGGAAGATATTAGAAGTTCCCTGTTCAGAGATACAGGTGTCCATAATTTACTCACAGGAATCATTAGCTTTACAATTCTGTTCATTTTCCAAGATATACCCTTCTTCACAGAAGCACCGGATATGGCCGTGTCGGTTTTCACACTTCTGGTCACAAATTCCCCATATCTGGCAATCATCAAACTCTGTCACATGAGAAACACACATTTATAATCACGTTTACTAGCATTTCTTGAGCTTGACAAAAATCCTGGATAAGAAGGCCAAGAATATGGTATTGTTCATGTATGTCTAAATAGAGCCTTCTGAGATAGGCCCAGCACCTAGGCATACAATAGAAAATCAGAACAGCCATCTTCATTCAAAAGAACAAGCATTTAAATCCTTTTTTAAATTCTACTGAAAAATAATTTTATAGAAGATGCACAACATCACTTGAATTCATAATCCTGTGACATTGTATTTCATTTACTAATGCTGGTTTATAGAATAAATGAATTTTGGTATAAATGCTTCCCTTTACAACTCGGTTTTCCAAAATGGAAGCCACTGACCCTCTGTACCTATATAAACATATATTTAGATTAATTAAAATTAAATTAACAATTCAGTGTCCCTATCACACTTGACACAGTGCAAGCGCTCAGTAGATATCTAGTGCTCATATATCAGAAAGCAAAGATAAAGAACACACCACTGCAGAAACTTCCACTGGACAGCACTATTTCAGAATAAAGTAAGACCTGCCACATATTCACCTCTCAAAAAGATTCAAATCTAACTGCAATAAACTGTTTGGGAAGATCTGTTTATGCAGCTGTTCCTCTGGGTGCCAGAAGATCATAACCAAACTTAAGTTAAAATTATTTTCAAGACAAGAAAAATGTCTTCTCTTCTACTTATTCATTAACTGATTATTCATTCATTTAATACGTGTTTATTTAAAGACCCTTACATGACAGAGCAACTAAAAATAGAAAAACTAACCTGGGGTTATGGCAGATGTCTATAGTCTCAGCTACTATGGAGGCTAAGGCAAGAGAATTGCTTAAGCCCAAGAGTTGAGGTTGCTATGAGTTATGATGCCACAGCACTCTACCCAGGGCTACAGAGTGAAACTGTCTTAAAAAAAAAAAAAAAAAAGCCAGGTGGGGTGGCTCGCGACTTATAATCCTTGCACTCTGGGAGGCTGTGGCAGGTAGATCACTGGAACTCAGTAGTTAGAGACCAGCCTGAGCCACAGCAAGACCCTATCCCTAAAAACAGGTGGGGGGAGGAAGGGGGGTCAGCACCTGTAGCTCAGTGGTTAGGGTGCTGGCCACATGCACCAGCGCTGGTGGGTTCAAACCCAGCCCAGGCATGCTAAACAAAAAAAAATAGCCAGGCGTTGTGGCAGGTGCCTGTAGCCCCAGTGACTAGGGAGATGAGACAAGAGAATCACTTGAGTCCAAGAGTCTGAGGTCGCTGTGAGCTGTGACACCACAGCACCCTACCAAGGACTACTCTGTGAGACTCTGTCTCAAAAAAAAAAAAATACTCTAAATGAGTATATGAAATCACTGTCACTTTTAATGACAGAATAAGACTGCATCATTTAGATCACTACAGAGAAAAATGAAGAATAACATCCATCTTCAGCCAAAGTGAAGACAAGAAAAATGAAAGTAAAATTGAGCTTTCTGTGAAAGTAGGAAAGATGGTGAAAACAATATAAAACACTGAAATGCCACTTTACAATCCCCTTTCACTCCAATACTGTTATCCATTTTTCTTTCCTCTTTATTCTTTGTCTCTTCCTACCAACAAATACTGCAAAACCTCTTTTTAGCTTAGATGCCCTTGGATACCCTCTGATCCATCTGGCTATGTGAGAAACCCTACTACACTGAATGACCTCTCTGCCCTCACTGTGCACCACGATGTCATTCTGTCAACAAACAGCATGTCCCGTCAATCAGAAACAATGAGCCTGGCAAACCGCTTTAGCAGGCTGCAGAGGTTCCACTGCCAGGTCAAGACTACCAGGGGCAGATGAATGGTAGAAAGACAAAGATTTCATGTCAGAATTGCTCAATGTTATTCTTGATGACCACCTAGGTATTCCCTGTGGAGCCACATCTTAGATAACAAATGTTTCATAGGTTTCTAACATCTGAAGCCTTTGGGCTGTGCAGAGGGTTATAGCCATACATAGAGTACTTGTTGAATTGAAATGCCTGAGAGAGAAAACTAAAGCAATTCTCCGAAAATTTTAGCTCGGGTGAAACAAGTATAACTGGTTTCATAACGTCACACAACATGTATTTAAGTTCTATTTTCAAAGACAGAAAAATATAGCCTTCTTTGAAACAAATGTAAAATAAATGTTAACCCAGCTTCAAAAATCGGGAGCAAATGGCACATTCTTGAAGGACCTGGAAGGTCACAGAAAAGGTCTCACAGGCAGCAGGGGGCCTCGTATTCACAAAACCCCTCCAATATAGACTTTTGAGATTATCTCCAAATGAGGTTGTTTGTATTGAAGTCCCAGAAACATAATGGGAAGATTGAAAGAAGATGTCTATTGTGGAACTTAAAACTAGTCCTGAATATCGGATCACACTGTGATACAAACTGAATGTGTTCTCTAAATCCGGAAACTGTCTTTTGCATAACATTGCAATTTTCTATATCATATTCATTGCTGAGTTAAACGGAAACTTTTATAAATCAAGAACCTTGTTGTGACATGCTCTTACTTCTTAAGGGGGGGGGCAAAATAAATGGCTGGGACCTCTGATATTCAAGAGGCCCACTTGGAAGTAGAACCCAAGGTTTATAGAAAAGATAGAAAATGTGCTATCTGGGCTTCAGGGTGGGAAAAATTACTGAGAGTAAGTTGTAGAGCATCACAAGACAGAACTAGGAACTCAGAGAGAACATAACACGTTTACTGAATAGACTGCACAGCTGGTCAAGTTTCAACTGCAGGATAGCCCAGCCTCTTCTAAGGGGGTTGAGAAAGGAAAAAGAGAGAAACATGGAGATATAATATTCAAAAGTTGCTTCTGGTATTTCTTTTGGAATTCCTTTTTGACTAAGAGAAAAGGGAGATTCCTAAAGAACTAAAAGGCTAGATGGAGACAAGATTGGGAGCTGGTACTTGGGAGGGCAAGAGAATTGCTAAAGGAAGAAAAAAAAATTAAAAAAAAAAAACTTCAAACTAAGATGAGTGAAAGCCAGTTGAAATTGAAAGCAAAATTAAAAAAAAAAAAAAAAAAAAACAATGATTGGGAGTTGCGTGGCAGTAAAGGGGGACAGAGGAGCCTGACATTAGCCAAAGAAAAGGAAGCAGCCTCACACTGAGGAGCACCAGCCCTCACAGGCACCAGGAAGCACAGGGAGGGGCTCCAAAGTCAGAGAGCCACCTCAACCAATAAGGAGTGTGAAAAGTATTCGGAGGGCGGTGCCTGTGGCTCAAAGTAGTAGGGCAACAGCCCCATATGCCAGAGGTGGTAGGTTCAAACCCAGCCCCGGCCAAAATATATATATATATATAGTATAAAAGTATTTGTAAATGACCACAACACATCCCCAAGGTAATGATTATAGTAACAATAATAAAACACAGAAAGTATCCTGCAAAGCCAGGCATTGTGGCAGGTGCCTGTAGTCCCAGCTACTTGGGAGCTGAGGCAGGAGAATTGCTTGAGCCCAAGAGTTTGAAGTTGCTGTGACCTGTGACACTACAGCACTCTACCCAGGGTGACAGCTTGAGACTCTGCCTCAAAGGAAAAAAAAGAATGTGTCCTGCAATCTCATTTAAGGTCAGTTTCAGATCATAACATTTTATTTATAAAATATTTCCAAGTGTCATTAAAAAAAAGATAGTGACTTCACATCTTTGTAATATCCTGGATGGAGCTGAAACACATTCTTCTTAGTAAAGTATCACAAGAATGGAAAAGCAAATATCCAATGTACTCAATACTAATACAAAGCCAGTAGACAATTCAGTGCATGCCCAATTAGGAGGAAAACTCATTTCAGTTCAAGCTGGGGGGAGAGGTAATGAGAACCCGAGAGGGGGTTGGGGTGCTCTTACTGGATGGGCACAGGGTGGGGGTGTTAGCACACCTTTTTTGTGTGAGACATAAACATGACATGAACTTTACCTAACAAAACCAAATATTTTGACCTGGTTGCTTGTACGCTCACATTAACTTGAAATAAATTTCAAAAATATACATTTCGAAGTGATTAGAAATTTATAGGCTTTTAAAAATAATTCATAATTCTCTGAGTCTCCAGGATCCCTCAGGCTGACTTGGATAAAATACTTATCTTAACTTGTCAAATATAGTCACATAAGAAGAGCAATTACATCATGGGCAAATTTTGGGATATGGTCCTGGTTTAAAAACCAAAAATTACCTACTTTGAACAAAATAAGGACAACCTCAATTGGATTGCTTCATCAGTTATAAAAATTCAGTTGTTCCAGGTCTATGACAGGTACTGAATCCCACAATTATAGTTCTCAATAATGCCAAGTTTAATTTGCAAACCAGAGTTTATTTCTGCTATCAAAACATTTTTATGGCAAGTTATTGAGATCAACCATATTTGATGACGTATAGTTCTGACGGAAGCCATAAGCTGAGACTAAGAACTGAATAACTTCATTAGGTTGACCCAAATTCAACTATTTTTTGCCAAATTATATTAATATTTTAGAAATTATTTCAGAAGACATACTTTTCTGAAAGTGTTTCTTATGCCTGTTATGCTTGTTTTTACCCAGAACACCCTAACAAATCTCAAATTTCTAAGGAATAGCAAAAGAATACAAATATTCTGAGAAAATTCTGAACACCTATGTTATAGAGATCCATAGATGGCTAGAAACAATTTTAATGAATAGCTTCAATTGCCTTCCAGATTCCTTTTCCCAACACCAGGAAAAACAAAGATTTTTTTAAGCCTCAGTGATCACTTTCTGCTAATAAATTTTTTGTACAAATCAGAAAGAAAAAAGAACATTGTTCAAATTCTAAGAAAATGAGAATGGATAATATTTGACCATGTGTAATTCTCCTTCTTAAGGCCCCATCCTAATCACAGTGATTATCAAAAATCTCTCAGCAGGAGGAAACAGTTTTGTAAGTCAGATGGGAGAGATGTGGGGAAATATTTGGTGCAACTTGTTCATACCAGTCACTAGCTGTTCGTTCCAAGATGAGGTAAAAGGAAAATCAGCGGCCAGAGCCAGGAGCAGTGGCTCAGGCCTATAATTTTAGCACTCTGGGAGGCCAGGGCAGGCGGATTGCTTGAGCTCAGGAGTTATGAGATCAGCCTGAGCAAGAGCAAGACTCAGTCTCTTCTAAAAATAGAAAAACTAGCTAGCCAAGCGTTCTGGTAGGCACCTGTAGTCCCAGCTACTCAGGAAGCTGAAGCAAGAGCATTGCCTGAGCCCAAGAGTTTGAGGTTGCTGTGAGATATGATGACACCACAGCACTCTACCCAGGGTGACAGAGAGAGACTGTTTCAAAAAAAAATTAGTGGACTGAATATTCAGCATAGTACAATATGGGCACCGACCCACCAGTATAGTCACCCAAGCAGTGACCCACTGATCCTCTTCTGTGCTAGGTGATAACTTTTTCTTTAGCTGGTGAATCCTTTGAACATTTGCACATCCTGGAAAATAGGCCAGGGGAGCAAGGCAGGGGTGCTCAAGTGTCTCAAAGTGGCAGCTACCTACTAACCTCAGAGAATTTAGTAACCAATATGGCCAGCTGTACCAACCCTGATTCCAAATACACAACAGGAATACCTCCATCATCAGGTAGCAGACAGCTGCCACGTACTAGCCACCACACATCACAAAAACACTTCTTTGCCTTGGGCACCACACAAAAGCTCCTCAGTGTTAAAACTTCAGATTTCCAGGTTTTCTGTGAGGACTATGTTGCTCTTTATTGGGCCAGACCATCACTCCTATCCCCAAGTGCACACTATTTGATGTCAGAGATCATGGAACCCATCAGTGCACTGTGATGAAAGACCAAAACCCCCACGTCACTTACCATCACAAGTACGCATGTCCATGTGGTTGATGACAAAACCTGGGGGACAAAAACATGCCCCTCCACGTGGTGTCTTATGGCACTGGTGTTCACAGTTCAAGGCAGAACATATACTTGTATCTAAAAAGAGAAAAGAATTTTGTTAAATAAATGGTGACCTCTGGCCAAGACCGGTCTCCCTAACAGCTTTTTTCTTCCATAAGTAAAACCTAAGCAAGCAGGACAAAGAGGTACAGAAAAATCTGTCCCCATTCAAACCTTACTGTAATACTATGCAATAAAAGCTCAACATACATTTAAACAAAAGAAAACTCCTTTTCATAGTTCCAGCAATGTGTAAGTATAAGTCATTATGTACATGTTAAATTTATGGAAAAAAATAAGTCATAGGTCTATCTGTGTCTACAAATAAAACTCCAAGTAACCGGACCAAGAATATATCCTGAAAGTGTTAACTGTGATTAGCTTCTAGTGATGGCATTTCAGAAGATTACTTTTTTTGTTTTGGAGACAGAGTCTTACTATATCACCCTCAGTAGAGTGCTGTGGTGTCACAGTTCACAGCAACCTCAAACTCTTGGGCTCAAGTGATTCTCCTGCCTCAGTCTCCCAAGTAACTGAGACTACAGGAGCCCACCACAATGCCCAGTCACTTTTTTATTGCAGTTGTCATTGTTGTTAGCTGACCCGGGCAGGGTTCGAACCTGCCAGCCTGGGTGTATGTGGCCAATGTCCTACCCACTAAGCTGTGGGCGCCACCCTACTTTTCTATATCTGTTAATTTTTATTTTCTAACTTTCACACTATGACTACATATCTCTGTGAATTTTTTGAGATTTTCAAAAGGGCTCCCAAATGAAATGGGGGTGGGGAGATAACACATTGGTTTCTGTCCATTTAAATATTAAGTTCAAGTTTTGTCAGAAAAATAAAAAATAATCTTGAGGGCACAGTAACATGGGCACTTCTAGGCAGCCACTAATTTAGTTAAAGAGTGTGCTACTCATGAAATCAGGGTCATAAATTGTATTTCCTTAAAGGTTAGTCGGCTATCCACAGAGTTGATGGTGGAGGAAATATTCTACAGCCACAAAACAAAAGAGAAAAAAACCTAATTGCAGTCAGTTCTTTTAGTGAGTGTGGTCGTACAAGACATAATTCAACAACACCATTCATAGTCAGCTCAAGTTTATCATAGACAATAACTCAAAGTACATAACCCAGGAACTAGAAGAAAAAAAAATTTTTTTTTTTTTAGTATAGACAGACAAGATATTTTTCCAAAAGTATGAACCAGGGAATGAAATCTGAAGAACACTTTTAGAGTCATCAAAACTGCCACTGAAAAAAGTCTCCCTGTGCATGTTCTGGAAGTGGAGGTTGGGGAGGGCTGCCACGAAATGTTTAAGCTCCTCCATTTTGTGCCTAACGAAGTGATTTGCTTTGGACACTAAGATGTTAGCAAGCATGGCATAATAGAGCCTTACAAGGGCTTGAGCTCTAAAGCTTGTCTTTGCTACCACCATGCAAACAAGCCAAGGCTAGCCGAAGCTGATACTGCAACATCCTGACACATGAATGAGCCAGTATAGGGCCAGAGGAACCACCTAGCCAACCCACTTAACTATAAAAAATATTATAATAAACATTCGTCAGTTTAAACCACTAACTCTTGGGGTAGTTTGTTACACAAATGCAAAGTAATAACATGGTGTATTTGATAATCTGGTCTAGAAAACAGAAATATCTGTCCCTGAAAGCTACCCAGATAAATTTCCATACTCACCACAGAAACTTTCAGTAGTGGTACTGTTTTCATCTTTTCCTCCTGGACAATCTGAAAACCCATCACAAACTTTATCAATTGGGATGCATTGCCCAGATCCTGGGCAAACCCATTGTCTTGGGGCGCAGTTACTTGAACTGTTGCTTTCTGTGGAGGAAAAAAAGAGAAAGAGTTTTACAGGCCACATGAGAGGCAGAGCCAGCTGTTTTGATCAATGGTTAAGAGAAGATATAGACCAAGGAGACAACAGAAATCTACAAATGACCTATATTTTACAATAAACTGGTAGTTTCTAATTCTACAATCAATTTTTATTGAGATTCTAAGGAGTAGCATAATGGAATTATTCCATCCTTTCTGGAGGAGACAGTCCCTATCCAGGTAATAAGAGAAAAAATAAACTATAAGCCTGAATTATCAATAAACGAGATTCATAACCTCCCACGAGAAGATCCAGTTATTTAAGTCCTAAATTATAGAACTAGGAGGGCCACCAACTTAACTCCAGGATTCCTGAGTTTATATTTTGGTTGTTTGACTTATTTTGTTTATTTAGTGAAATGTCAACAATATATGAAAAACTCTTATAGGAAATATAAGAATGAAGACCACTTCCTAGAACATCAAAATACAAAACCAGTAGAACAAGCATCTCCCTTATTCTAACTGGGAATGGAATTGTACAGACAACTTGCTTTATGGTGTTGGTGTTGGTAGCTCCTAAACCACTGGAGGTTATTACTGATGGTATCAGCAGTGTGAAGGGGTGACCTCACCGGCAATTTCCTTCTCAGAATCTTTAAACACTTCCCTGGATTGCAGCATTTCCTACACCTAACAAACCCTAGCTCCATCCCCTATGTTCCCAATGTGGCCTCTCTTTCACCACTGTATTGTCAGTGACACATTTGGAAATCAAAATGAAAATTAATTAATTAATTAAAATAAAATAAAATAATCCTGAATTGTTATCAAGGTCCAAAGTCCTTTCTAAAAGTTATAAGGTCTGAGACAAATCACACTTCCCCATATTATTTTTCCTCATCGCCCAGCCTACTGTTCTTATATCAGTAAATTTGATTATAATAAAATAGGCAGTCTAAAGGGTTGAAAGTCAGAGTGGGTTACATACAGAGGAGGGACTGTCCTACCTATTTTTTTTTTTTTTTTTAGACAGAGTCTCACACTGTTGCCCTCGGTAGAGTACCGTGGCGTGACAGCTTAAGCGATTCTCTTGCCTCAGCCTCCCAAGTAGCTGGGACTACAGATGCCCACCACAGTGCCCAGCTGGTTTTTCTGTTATTGTTGTCATTGTAGTTTAGCAGGCCCAGGCCAAGATCAAACCCACCAGCCCTGGTGCATATGGCCAGTGCCCTAACCACTGCACCATGGGCGCTGAGCTATCTCCTACCTATTTTGACTTAATGATACTTCAATCTATATTTGAGTTCTGAGTCTTTCTAGGAAAAGTTAGTGGAATCTCCTCCTTCCTCACCCACTAAATGTCTAAACAACTCCTTAATCTCCAGCCAACCCTGAGGATCGTTTGTCATGTAACATTTCTGAATAGGAAAGGAAAAAAAACAAGTTCTGGAAAAGACTTTAAGACAATGCTTTTCAGCTCGGAACATAGCACAGTGGTTATGGCACCAGCCATATACACCGAAGGTGGCAGGTTTGAACCCACCTCAGGCCAGCTAGCCAACAATGACAACTACAACAAAAAATTGCCGGGCATTGTGATGGGCGCCTGTAGTTCCAGCTACTTGGGAGGCTGAGGCAAGAGAATCGCTTAAGAGTTCGTGATTGTCATGAGTTGTGACACCACAGCACTCTACCAAGGGTGACATAGTAAGACTCTGTCAAAAAAAAGAAAGAAAGAAAGAAAGAAAGAAAGAAAGAAAGAAAGAAAGAAAGAAAGAAAGAAAGAAAGAAAATGCTTTTCAACAGGAGTCTCTTCCCCTCCTTACCACATCCATTTTCATCTTCACCGTCTTTACAATCCGCTTGGCCATCACAGACCTGGTTTTGATGAATGCATCGGCCACTGGAGCAAGTGAACTGGCTCCCGTTGCAGGTCTGATAATCTGGAAAGAAGCAACAGCTGCACTCCAAAGACACAAATCACTTGGAAAACATCAAACCACTCACCTTCCTGCCTAAACAGAGCTCCCAGAAACTGAACTTTCTATGTCAACTTAATACCGTTAAATATCTTGATAAAAATGACAAAAAGGAGGAAGAGAAAGACAAAGAAGAGGAGATAACAGCATCTTTGGGTCCAGGAAATGAACTCAAAGTCCAGTCTCTGTTTCTCAAGATTAAAAACAAGATGCAGTGCAATGGCGACTGAGGCCTGGGTGAGGATGCTGCGGACATGCCAATGTCCAACATTCTCTTACTTTACCACAAACGCTGTCATTGCTAGCCTAGGACCAAATGATTCTGAGTCAGTCATTCCACCTATCTCCTTCTCTTTAATATAGTCATTGAAATAAGCCCAGGTTCCAGAATGGAAACGGCATGGCTTATACAAAATTGGGGTGATATTGAAAATATTTAGCACCCTAAGGCATGCGTACCAACCAGTCAAAACAGGTATGAAAAAAAATGATATATTCTAGTAAGTAGAATATTTTCTATTATATTTTTGTGACCCTTTAGGGTCACAAAAAGCTGCCAACTTTTTGGAATTAGTGAAACTCTCACAGGGTCTTCTAACTTTACACATTCCAAAAAAACAAGCTTCAAGATTGAAAGAACAAGAGAGGTTGCCTGCATTGCAAACTACAACATGTAGTAAAATTTAGAACCACTGGTGCTAAGGAGCCTCCTTTCCTTTTCAAGGCCTTCTCTCATTCGACTGTTAAAAAGTTATCAGCCCCATTCCCGACTGTTAAAGTTATCAGCCCCATTCCCAAGGTGTGGGTAACTTGAGAGTCCACTCATGCAAAATACCCTGAGCCATCGTAGACCAAGGGAATAATGCAACTTTCCATCAGCAACTTTTCAACTCTGCACAAATCCTTAGACGATAAAGAAGCCCAAGTCCAGCAATAAGGCCCATGCCATGGTGTCTAAATGATCTTCCAGCTGCATCAACCATTAAATATAGTGACTCTTTCCTTTGGGAAAAAGTGGTACTTTGGTGGGAAAACAAAAGCCCAAACAAAAACCTTCCTAACAACATGACTCAGCATAAGGAAATCACCGTACTGCAATCATGTTCATCACTGCTGTCTTCACAATCTTCCTCATGGTCGCAGACATAGGTCTTTGGGATACATTGCCCATTGTTGCATGCAAACTCATCGCGCAAACAGACGTTAGCTGGGACACAGGGTAAAAAGGGAAAGAAAAGAGAGAATTTAACTGTATTGTAGCCCTTTAATCTCATAGAAAGATTCTATCTCAAGTTTAAAAAGTAATTCTTATTAAGCAGTGGTGTGCTGGTAAATATTTAGTGATCAGTTCTCCACAAGCAAAAAGCTCTGGTTTGTAATGTTTGCCAGCTTTCATGGTATAATTACTACCACTGATGGTGACTTGAAACTACCAAGATTTATTCACTGAACACGGACCTGGGAGGAAATGTGTATGTATGATTGGCTCTCCCAGGACAGTACAAATGAGATCAGCACACCAGTGCCCATCCATATGCATGTCACTTACTGCAGTTCATTTCATCAGAATGGTCTCTGCAATCAACTAGACTGTCACACCTCTGAGAAGTGTTATAGCAAGCTCCATTGGCACAAGTAAGCTGTTCACATCTTGGGTATTCTATTTAAAAAAAAAAAAAAACACACAAAACACAAATAGCAAACAAAGTTCAAAGTTCAGCAAACATTTCTGGGGTAAATACTATATGTAGGCACTACATGGTAAGCATATATTGGTACACAAAAGAGACCCGTTCCCTAACCTCATGGAAAACACAGTTGGATGGGGAGAGACATTAATCAGATAATGATACAAATGGCAAATTATAAACTGGGTTAAGTGTGAACGTGGAAAGCACAGAGAGCTGCTATAAGACTCCTCCCCACCATTGGGGCCTGAGAAAATATCTTCTAACGAAGTGACTTTTGAGCTGACTGTTGAAGAATGAAAAAGAATTTAATTCAGGATGGACCTTTCTTTCACAGAATACAAACAACATCCCAGGAAACTAATATAGCTTCCCACGTGTTTTGGGAAATGAAGGGCCATTTCCCACAGTGGAGGACTGGAAGGAGAAAGCAGGCCTAGAAGTCAGCAGCTATTTACCTTGACAAGCTGCCTATCCTCTCTATGTAGATATCTGCACATTTCGATGTTACACTGCCCAGAGTAGAGGAGCCTAGTAGAGTACTTTGAAAAGCATGGTGTGCTGTACCAGCACACATTACTGTTGCCACATTATGTACATATGGTCACCTCAGTGCTATTCTCTGGACCTGGTTTTCTAGAGGGAATTCAGGGTGTCCCTTATAGGAATAACAAACATGCTATCTATCCCTCTATGAGCTCCTAGACTCAGAACCGTGTCCCTCACTACACCTAACTATAGGCTTCATTCTGTTGGCTTTTTATCTGTTTCCCCCATGACATAATGGAAGCTGCTGAGATCCTGTCCTACTCATTTTAGAAACCCCACCACTTCATACAGGCACTGGGATATTACTCATTACCCCACCACTTCATACAGGTACTGGGATATTACTCATTACCCTACCACTTCATACAGGTACTGGGACTTATTTATTAATAATAAAATGTTCATGAGTGAATATTTTAATTCATTATGCTTTTAAAAATAGTTTGAACTTCTGTCCTTTATGGTCTTCAAACACTTTCCTTCTTACAAGTGGGCTATCTTCCTGGTCTGACTACATTTTTCATTAAAGATTTTTTTTGAGACAGAATCTCACTCTGTTGCCCAGGCTAGAGTTCCATGGCATCAGACTTCTGAGTTCAAGCAATCCTCATGCCTCAGCCTCCCAGTTAGCTAGGATTATAGACACCCAGCACAATACCTGGCTAATTTTTTATTTTTAGTAGACTGGGTCTCACGCTTACCCAGGTTGGTCTCAAATTCCTGAACTCAACAACCCTCTTGCCTCAGCTTCCCAGAGTGCTAGTATTACAATCATGAGCCACCACGCTCAGCCTAAATATTTTTATGATGATTCTTAGATTGTCTTCATATCTTGTTTTAACAGAGGAAAAGGAATGCGCTAGTTAAGATTTCAAAGACCAGATAGCCCAGTCCCACTTTGAGGCTCAATTTTGCATTTGAGAGCCCAATTTGAGGTTTTATAGATATATAAAGATACTTAAGATAATTCTTTGACTTGGTGCCCATAGCTCAGTGGTTAGGGCACTGGCCACATACACCAAGGCTGAGGGGTTTGAACCTGGCCCGGGCCTGCTAAACAACAATGACAACAACAACAACAAAAAATAATAGCCGGGTGTTGTGGCCAGTGTCTATAGTTCCAGCTACTTGGGAGGCTGAATCAAGACAATCGCTTAAGCCCAAGAGTTTGGGGTTGCTGTGAGCTGCGACACCACAGCACTGTACCAAAGCAACATAGTGAGACTTTGTCTCCAAAAAAAGATAATTCTTTGAATAATCCCAGTTTTTTTTAAGCAGAAGGAGTACACAAAATTCAATGCTGAAACTATATTAAACTTATGCCATGTTGATACTCAAACTTTTAAAAAGGTGGACTCTCAAATGATCTTTTCTACTATTTTGCACAGTAAAGGAATAAGCCTAAATTTTCTCATCTCCCAAAGTTCAAAACTAGTTTATTAAGTATCCTTAACTATCCATATTGCCAAAGGTACATATACTCAATCATATATTAAAATGGAAGGTATTTTTAAATAAATAACTAAAATTTTAAATTTTTCCGGAACTTTATAGTCTTATAGTCATCTACAAATAGTCAATGCTTAGGATTACTGCTGTCTCTTCATGACTGAGATGTTACACCTTACAAACACAATATCAGATGGGTCACACAACTCTGTTTATTCAAGAGATGCAAAAGGTCAAGATTCCCTTCCCCATGTGTGCTAGACACTTCCTAAAGTCAGCCTGTCACTCAGCCTTTTAAGAGCAGCAAGTAGGAGAAAAACAAATCAGAGAAAAATCCAGCTCTTTGCAATAGATAAGCTACCTTTCGGGAGGAAAATTTATTTGGCCTTGAATTGCCATTATCTCAGTTAAGGCAAATATCCACCAACAGGACTAAAAGTTTACTTGCATGGTTCATTTCCCCCAACAAACAGCAAGGCCAGCTTGATGTCGGCAGGGAGGGTGTTGCGATTGGCCAGAGGTCAGCAGTTCAACACTCAGAATGACGAATGAACAGCTTTCTTGTCTCCATCCACACTGATAATGAATCTCTCTCAATCAGCAGAGGATGTCCCTCAATCCCTGCACACCTTCCAATCTCTTCTGTGCACAGAGAACCTGAGGTGGGTGTTCATGGGGAAGATCGCGCTGAGTTCTCCAGCTCCTCTAAATACTGTAAATACAGTAGACCACCCAAGGGACTGCAATGAACTGGTCAACATACAGAGGTGGTCAACATAAGGAACCAGGCCTGCTGTACTGGTACATGTATGTGGTGCATGTCTGGTCTGTCAACCATGGAGGTTCTACTGTATTTAGAAATCTGTTCCCAAATGATTTTCCCTCTTTGGAAAAAGATGGACTCACCAATGATCTTTTTCTACCATTTTGTACAGTAAAGGAGTAAGCCTAAATCGTCTCATCTCCCAAAGTTCAAAGTATTAAGTATCCTTAACTATCCATATTGCCAAAGTTCCATATACTCACTCATATATTAAAATGGAAGGTATTTTTAGAGACAACACAGAGAGAACAGCTCCAAGTTGTTGACGCCAAGCAAAGCAAGAGGTGCATGCATTCTACTTCTCTTGGTCAAAATGTTAATTAATGAGTTTCAGTCTACCTCCAAAAACAGGAACCCACAATCCTTCAAGTTTCCAAATCTAAAATCTTATTTTCATGTGTTTGCTTGGAAAGCCTGAGTCTAACCTTAAAGACAGTTTCTTATAAGACAAATCCATGATGTGCTTGAAAGTCCTACAGAATATTAAGTACAAATAGGGCAAGTGCAAGAGGGGAGACACACCAGAACACCAAGAAAACTCTTCCTGCTGAGCTCTGTCTTAATGGAAAGATCAACAAGTACCTATTAAGCAAGCTTCAGACCTTTAAGGTTTCTCCTGCACAAAAATGTGAAAAGACTCTTCCTCACACTACTCCTTCTTTTTCTCTTCTTTATTTTCTCTAAGTTCTAAATAATAATGTTCAGGTTTGTTCCCATCCATATTGGAAACTACCCCAAAACATGGACATAAGATTTTAAAAGGTTTTTTTCTTGGTTATGATTTGTCTGGGAGCAAAAAAATTTCCATGCTATAGTTCTGTTTACATAATCAGAGAGGAAGGTGTAGAAAATAGAGGACCTTATAGACCTCCCGGAATGGAAATCCTTTGCAGCAATGAAAGATAAAAATATAAGGCACTATCCTTTATTATCCTGATGGGAAGATTACAAATACATCTTATTCCCACAAATTGACAAAATGGCCAAAAAGAACATAGAAAAGATAAATGATTGCAGAAAAAGAGAAGGGATCTTAAAGGTAGTTTAAGAAAACTGAAGCCAATATTGGAAACAAACAAACAAACATGAAGTAACTATGATGATACAAGTGCAGCCCAGACACGTGGAACTTTTCAAGGTCTTAGGGTCCTTTGTAAGTTACCCTCTATTACTCATTCTGGGTCCAAGTTAATCCAGTCAAAGCAATGATTCACCAGGAAAGGTTTACCAGTTTGGCCACCAGCTCTTTCTTATGAGAACCACTCACAAAGTAAAGTAAATAATGATTATCATCATCATCAGTAACATGAATACTATGTGCCAGAAACATGTTAAAATACTCAATATGTATAAAATTATTTCATACTTGGCTCTGCACTCATATAGCACAGTGGTTACAGCACTGGCCATATACACCGAGGCTGGCAGGTTCGAACCCAGCCCAGGCCAGCTAAATAACAATGACAACCACAACAAAAAAAATAGCCAGGCATTGTGGCAGGGGCCTGTAGTCCCAGCTACTTGGAAGGCTGAGGCAAGAGAATCACTTAAGCTCAAGAGTTTGAGGTTGCTGTGAACTATGACGCCATGGCACTCTACCGAGGGCAACATAGTAGGACTCTGTCTCAAAAAAAAAAAAAAAATTTTCATTCTTACAACACAATCACTCCCATTTTAAAGATGTGGCACTTGAGGCACAGAGAGGTTAAGGAGGTGGAAAAAGATTACACGACTGATAAAGCTGGATAGCCAGAATACAAGTTCAAGTAGTCTGGCTCCACAATCTATGTCAATAGATATCGATGCAATCACTACAATAGATATAATTACCATTTATGGGCTTCAGAGTGAGTAACAGGAAAAAGTGAAAAATTACAGAAGAATGAGATTAAATGGAACAAGACTAGGACATTTTTCAAAAGAGAATATGAAAAGAAAAGGAAGTAACCCAAGCAAGGACAACGGGATTTCTTTCTTCAAGACAGTTTCCCAACCACTTTCAGAAGGAGGGAGAAGTGAAGCCAAATCCAGTTTCCCACTATGACATATTCCACAACAGACTTTAATCTGGCACAATCTAGGAATTCTGGAAAACCCTACACTAGGAAACAGTTTTCCAGACGGAGTACCAGAACAAACAGGAAAGTCACT